CCATCATATACAACAGCCCGCATACAATTTAAGTCGCAACGGTAATTGCCCACGAGAAGTCACATATGATATTACCACAGTTGTTTCAATTGCATCAATTACGATTTCTTTCCATCATTTGTTACACAGCTCTTACCACATAAACACCTTCACACACGCACACACTTGGTTTGTTGCCATTTACTTACACCATTCTATCGGGAGACTTAACCAACAACGTTCAAGGCATATTTAGTCACAAGGATTCATGAAATAGGCCATCTTGCCCTAACACCCGTGAAGCAAACAAAATTCACAAATAGTGCACATAAGAAATGCATACCAATTACCCGTACACAAAATAGGGTGACTTTACAAAGGTTAAAGTTAGCCATACATACCTCAATTTCGCCCCTTAATGATACTACAATGATCCAATACACTTAAGCAACTTCAATCTACAATACAACATTCAATGGGGCCAATATTAGTAACAAATTCCATAACTTATGCCATTTAGGCATATTATCAAACACCTAATTGGAAAAACTCCTTTACTTCCTTATCTACCTACGGGTGTAAAAAACGAGGTGTGACAACAATTTATTCCACCATCATTCCTAACCAATTTATAACATCCAACAACGTATGTATGATCACCCATTCATACCCAACCAACAATTTATATCAAATAATCACCCTTTCAATCTCTACAATAATTATGTATTTATATTGGGAACTTATGGCTTCCCATCACTACACCAAGAGTTCCAACACTTAATTCATACTCATATTCCCATAATATATCCATATATGTAAGTCTAAGGGTAAAAGATTACCTCTTGTTGGCCAAATCTTGAAAGATAACTTTTGTGATGTTCTTGAGATTTTGAAGAAATCCTATGAAATCCAATCAAAACCCTGTTTTAACTAGTGATTGAGAGATGAAATCACCATGAAAACACACTTAAAAACTCACCTTAGGTGTGTGATTGGATACCTTGGTCGGATTGGGGATGGAGAGGATGCCCTAGGCTTGAGAAATGACTTAAATCCTCTCATTTCCCGTCCTTAGGTGTATCTAGAGGTCTGCTACTAGCGCACCGGCGCTATGGCCGCGCTAAGGATGCAAAATACTTCCCAATATGCCTGGCCGCGCTAAGGCCGCGTTAAGGCCGCGCTTCGACACCTGCCCAGTAAAATGGTCGTAACAACAATAAATGCAAAAGAAAACAAAAATGAAAAAGAAAACAAAAATGAAAAAAAAAGAACACAAAAAAAAATTCAAAAACAAAGTTTCCTGAACTACGTTCGACTTGATTCCGAAAGGATACGTAGGCAGCATTTCTCTGAGGTTCAGTCACACCAAAATAAAAATCCAAATTCCCCAAAAAGTGAAACTGGGGCAGATATTATAATATTTCGGCAATGGTTTTGCCTGAAAGGTTCCAAAGTTGTAATTCAGTCCAAATTCTTTTTACCCAAATCCCTTTCAAGTCCTTCCGATCAATCAACGAGAATGTTCAAGAATTGGAGGATACTGTTACTTGGATCAGATGCAACCAAATAAGAGAAATAAAATGAGAGAGTCCTATTGGTGAAAACCCTTATTGGCACTGTAGGGTGATGGTGAGTAGAGAAAATAAAAATGAGAGAGTCTTATTAGTGAAAACTCGCAAAGGGCACTATAAGACGATGGCGAGAAGAGAAATGAGAGAGACCAGCTAGTGAAAACCCACAAAGGGCACTGTTGATCGAAAAGAGGATCCACACAACCATGGCATTAACACAATCATGAGCAAGGTTTCCCGCTTTTCAAGTCAAAAAATTGTGATGAGTTTCTGAGAATCGGACGGTTTATATAGATCATGCATCCAGTCCAAGAGGCATGTCATGTTCATTGAAGTCTGCATTTACTCCCAGATAAGTCCTTCTTTCCTTTCCTCGAAAAGGATACCTCTCGTCTAAGTTCATTTGTCCATTTTACTGTTTGTTTTCTTTGAATCCCTTTCGGACTAACTTTGTTCCAAAAATAAGGCAAAGAAAATTCGGCAAGACCGATTTACAGGGTTCTCATTTGAAGCGAGCTGATATATTCAAAAGGCGCCCAGCCTCGACAAGGATATCAAGTCAACCTCGATTGGCCATGATTGGCCGATGCTTTGAAATGGAAAACTTTGAAAGAGGTCAAAAGCGAAATGCTCAAAAAGGCAACATAAAGTTGAAAAAGGTTAAGTAACTTCATGGCAATGTTTGGAAAAGCTAAAGGTTCTCCAGGGTCAGAAATGCAGTTGGTATTTAGAAAATAATCAGTTGCAGTTGAAATCGTTAAAGAAGATGAGCCGAGATCAAGAGATTGAAATAATCAAGGCCACAAACCGACCACCATTTTAAAACCAACGAATCTTTCTTTGTTCAGAACAGGAACAGAACAATTTTAAAAAAACAGTTTGTGAAAACACGAACACCACCAAGTGAAGTTCTTAAATCCTTGATTTTCTTCCAATATACATAATTATTTTATTTTTAGTTTCATTGCAGGGAACCATCACCCTATCTGCCAACACAGGGTACTACATCCCCTGGTTGCATTTTTATTTTTCTACATAGGGTACGACATCCCCTAGTAGCATTTCAGAGTGCAACGAGCCTCATCTTATTGCCAACACAGGGTACTACATCCCCTGATTGCATTTTTATTTTCTACATAGGGTACGACATTCCCTAGTAGGATCCCAGAGTGCCACGAGCCTCATCTTATTTCCAACACAGGGTACTACATCCCCTGGTTGCATTATTTTCTACATAGGGTACGACATTCTCTAGTTGCATTTCCAGAGTGCCACGAGCCTCATCTTATTTCCAACACAGGGTACTACATCCCCTGGTTGCATTATTTTCTTGTTGCAAACATAGGGTACGACATCCCCTAGTTGCATTTTAGAGTTCCACGAGCCTCATCTTATTGCCGACATATGGTACTACATTCCTTGGTCGCATTACTTTTCTACATAGGGTACGACATCCCCTAGTAGCGTTTCAGAGTGCCACGAGCCTCATTTTATTGCCAACACNCATCTAACACCATTAACTAACAATTTATTCCACCATCATTCCTAACCAATTTATAACTTCCAACAATATATGTATGATCACCCATTCATACCCAACCAACAATTTATATCAAATAATCACCCTTTCAATCTCTACAATAATTATGTATTTATATTGGGAACTTATGGCTTCCCATCACTACATCAAGAGTTCCTACACTTAATATATACTCATATTCCCATAATATATCCATATATGTAAGTCTAAGGGTAAAAGATTACCTCTTGTAGGCAAAATCTTGAAAGATAACTTTTGGGATGTTCTTGAGATTTTGAAGAAATCCTATGAAATCCAATCAAAACCCTGTTTTAACTAGTGATTGAGAGGTGAAATCACCATGAAAACACACTTAAAAACTCACCTTAGGTGTGTGATTGGATACCTTGGTCGGATTGGGGACGGAGAGGATGCCCTAGGCTTGATAAATGACTTAAATCCTCTCATATCCCATCCTTAGGTGTATTTAGAGGTCTGCTACTAGCGCGCCCGCGCTAAGGCCGCGCTAAGGAGGCAGAATACTTCCCAATATGCGCGGCCGCGCTAAGGCAGCATTTCAACACCTGCCCAATAAAATGGTCGTACCTTTCTGTATACACCTCCAAATAACGAACGGTTTGGTGCGTTGGAAACTAGACTCAAAGAGCTTTAACTTGATAGGTTGTGAATCCCACAACCCCTTATATACACGTAGATATGCTCGTCCAAAGTGAGGTCTTGTGCGTATTCATTTGAAATCTTAGCCTGTTATGAAATTTTCCAACTTGGCTTAGACTTAGGCTTCCCTTTGGACCTCACTTATTACATGACTCATACACTTATTCACCACATCCGATTCATTTGCATCATATTTAAAGCACATAAAATATTACAATTAGTCTACCTGGCACCCCGAAATCCTATATCGCCTAGCAAAATTTTTTTCCGGGGCCTTACATGTTCATGCCTTATGTGATATATCTATTGTTGAACAAGGCTTGTGGAAATAATTTTGGTAATTGAACAATGAAGAGCGTTGGCTCAAGTTGTGAAATGATCTGTGGAATTATTGTTGGCAATTGGACATTATGGAGCATTGGCTCAAGTTTGTGAATTGAGTTGTGAAGTAAATGTGAAAAAGAGAAGAGGATTATGATGTTGTCTCCCTTGGCGGGATGTTGTTGCTTTTGATATTGTTTCCCTTGCCGGGATATGATTGTTGTACTATTGCTCCCTTGCCGGGATTTTATTGTGATTTTATTTATTTCCTTGCCCTTATTGCTTGTGATTGTCGTTTGGGTGAGAGAGAGTGTTAAAGCACGAAGGATGATTCATGCATTGTATTGGTGAGAGAGTGTTAAAGCACGAAGGGTGATGCTGTGCATTGTATTGGTGAGAGAGTGTTAAAGCACGAAGGTGATGCCGTGCATGATATTTATGAGAGAGTGTTAATTTACGAAGGGTGATGCCGTACCGCACGATGTACCATTCCGTGCCTTTATATGAGTGATGATGCACGAAGGATCATTCCGTACCATGATTATGTGAGGTAAAAGCACGAAGGGTGATGCCGTGCCATTTATATCGATTTTATAGTGAGGACGAGAGTAAAAGCACGAAGGGTGATGCCGTGCACTTGTCTTTGATTTCCTGATTTTTACTGATAATTGAGTTACGGTGTTCTTTACATTTAACTATTGGTTTCTGTTGTTACTTGTTGTTCCTCGTAGCATGTTTCCCCCTTCCTATCTTTAATTGTAAAGTTTCCCTTTATTTTCCCTGTACATGATTTAACTGCAAAGGTTTATTTGGTAGTCTGGTCCTAACCTCCTCACTACCTCGCCGAGGTTAGGCTAGGCACTTACAGCACATGGGGTCAGTTGTGCTGATACTACACTCTGCATTCTTTTGTGCAGATATCGGTGTTGTAGCTTTCGGACACCAGTGAGGTTGCTGCTTCCAGTGCATCAGGCGACCCGAGGTGGTTCTGCAGGCCTCCGCGGACCTTGGCATCTCATTATATCCTTCATTCTGTTTCTTTCATGTATTCCAGAGATAGTGTTGTATTAATCTTTCAGACCTCTATTTGTAGTATTCCTAGACAGTTTGTGAAATTGTGACACCAGTTCTGGGGTAGTTTATGTTATGGATTGGTATTTGTATCATTATTAAAATATTACATTTCAGTCATCTGCTTATTAAATTCCGCTGTTTATATGACGTTGGTTCTTAATTGTTAAAGGATTACAATGGGAAAATGGTAAATAATACAAATGGTTGGCTTGCCTAGCTTTCACTGGTTGGCGCCATCACGACTCCCGAGGTTGGGAAATTCGAGTCGTGAAAAGTTGGTATAAGAGCTCTAGGTTGCTTTGGTCTCATAATTCACGGACAAGCTTGGTAGAGTCTGAGGAATCGGTACGGAGATGTCTGTGCTTATCCCCTAGAGGCTACGGAGTTAGGAACAGTTTCACTTCTATTCATCTCTGTCATGCGGTTTGGTTTCTCAATGCTGATTAAACATCTACTCTGTTCTTTCACAGATGGCGAGAACATGCACTTCCTCATCCCTTGATCAGCAGCCCGAGCCCCCAGCAGCAGCTTCTACGAGGGACAGAGGGCGAGGCCGAGGTCGTGCTAGAGGCCGAGGCAGGGGCAAAGCTCAACCCATAGCAGCAGCACCAGCGGCGGAGCCTCAGGTTGAGTTCGACGAGGAGGTTCCGGCCCACACAGTTCCAGTAGGACCAAGTCAGGTCCCAGAGGCGTTCATTGCTACCCCAGTTCTCCAGGATGCTCTTTTCTGTCTAGTGGGCCTTATGGAGAGTGTCACTCGGGCAGGCTTGCTTCCTATAGCACCAGTCGTCTCTTAGGCTGGAGGAGGAGCCCAGACTCCCGCTACCCGTACCCCAGAGCAGATGGCTCCCCAGTTCCAGACTCCAGCAGCTCAACCAGTTGGAGCAGTTCAGTCGGGTGTGGTAGCTTAGACCGGTGATGGAGCAACTATGTCTGCCGATGCTTTGTGGAGGTTGGAGAGGTTCACCAAGCTCTTCACTACCACTTTCAGCGGTGCATCTTCTGAGGATCCCCAAGATTATTTAGACAGTTGTCATGAGGTTCTCAGGAACATGGGGACGGTGGAGACCAATGGGGTCGACTTTGCTGCTTTTCGCTTATCTGGATTCGCCAAGACTTGGTGGAGAGATTATTGTTTGACTAGACCAGTTGGGTCACCAACTTTGACTAGGGATCAGTTTTTTCAGCTATTTCTGGAGAAGTTTCTTCCTATCACTCAGATGGAGAACTATCGGAGGCAGTTTGAGCGTCTCCAGTAGGGTTCTATGACCGTTACTCAGTACGAGACCAGGTTCATTGATTTGGCCCATCATGCTCTTCTTGTACTTCCCACCGAGAAAGAGAGAGTGAGGAGGTTCATTGAGGGACTCATTTCATCCCATTGGACTTCAGATGGCCAAGGAGGCAGGGAGCGAGATTTATTTTCAGGATGCGGCCAATGTGGCCAGGAGCGTTGAGATGGTTTTGTCACAGGGGATGGTCAGGGGTCTGACAAGAGGCCTCGTCATTCAAGCAGATATAGTGGTTTCTCGTTTGGAGGCAGGGATTCTTTATGTAGATGCCATCCTCCTAGGCCTTTTAAGTCAGCACTTCAGGTTTCTCACGGTGCTTTAGGTGGTCGTGGTTCTCATATACAGTACTTTGATCAGCAGTCCTACAGTGCACCACCGGCTCCTATCAGTGCACCGCCGCTCCAGAGTTTTCGGGGTGGTCATTCAGGTCGTCAAGGTCAGCAGTCTCAACAGCCGAGGTCTTGTTATACTTGTGGTGATACGGGTCATATTGCTAGATTTTACCCTCGAGCACCGAGCAGCTCTAAGCATTAGGGTTCCCATGCCATGGTTCAGGCACCGAGTGTTCTACAGCCCGCTCAGCTAGCTAGGGGTGGAGGTAGAGGTGCTAGAGGTGGAGGTAGAGGTATTAGAGGTGGAGGTCAGGCCGCTAGAGGTGGAGGCTAGCCAGCAGCAGGCCGTCCGAGAGATGTAGTTCAGAGTGGTGGGGCCCAGCCCCGATGTTATGCTCTTCCAGCCAGGCCTGAGGCTGAGGCTTCCAATGCAGTTATCACAGGAACCGTTCTTGTTTGTAGTAGAGATGTTTCAGTTCTATTTGATCCACGGTCTACATACTCCTATGTGTCATCTTATTTTGCATCGTATCTGGTCATGCCTAGTTATTCTGTGAGTGCTCCTGTATATGTGTCTACACCGATGGGTGATTCTATTGTGGTAGATCGTGTCCATCCTTCGTGTATAGTTATGATTGGGGGTTTTGAGACCCGAGTAGATATGTTACTTTTGGATATGGTTTATTTTAATGTCATATTGGGGATGGACTGGTTATCACCTTACCACGCTATTTTGGACTGTCATCCCAAGACTGTGACCTTAGCCTTGCCGGGGTTTCCTCATTTAGAGTAGAGAGGGACTCCTGGTCATTATACCCGTCATGTTTTCTCATATATGAAGGCTCAGCGTATGGTCGAGAAGGGGTGTTTGGCCTATTTGGAATATGTTCGTGATTCTAGTGCTGAGGTTCCTACTATGGATTCCGTGCCTGTTGTTCGTGAGTTTCCTGAGGTATTTCCTTCAGACCTGCCGGGTATGCCACCCGACAAGGATATCGACTTCTACATTGATTTGGCTCTGGGCACTCAGCCCATTTCTATTCCGCCAAATCATATGGCCCCGCCTGAGTTGAAAGAACTGAAGGAGCAATTGCAAGACTTTCTTGATAAAGGCTTTATTAGACCTAGTGTCTCTCCTTGGGGTGCGCCGGTGTTGTTTGTAAAGAAGAAGGACGGGTCGATGAGGATGTGCATAGATTACCGACAATTGAACAAGGTCACAATCAAGAATAAGTACCCATTGCCGAGGATTGATGATCTGTTTGACCAGCCACAGGGTGCCCAAGTGTTTTCTAAGATCGACTTGAGATCGGGCTACCATCAGTTGAGGATTAGGGCATCCGATGTCCCTAAGACACCTTTCTGCACTCGGTACGGGCACTATGAGTTCTTGGTGATGTCATTTGGACTGACAAATGCCCCAGCAGCTTTCATGGATTTGATGAAGCGAGTGTTCAGGCCTTATTTGGATTCCTTCGTGATTGTCTTCATTGACGATATTTTGATCTATTCCCACAGCGGGGAGGAACACGAGCAGCATCTTCGAGTCGTTCTTCAGACTCTGAGGGATAGTCAGTTGTATGCTAAGTTTTTGAAGTGCGAGTTCTGGTTAAGTTTAGTTGCATTCTTGGGTCACGTTGTTTCAGCAGAGGGTATTCAAGTGGATCCAAAGAAGATAGAGGCAGTCAAGAGCTGGCCTCGACCCACATCAGCTACAGAGATTCGGAGTTTCTTGGGTTTGGCAGGCTATTACCATCGGTTTGTGGAGGGGTTTTCATCTGTTGCAACCCCGATGACCAGGTTGACTCAGAAGGTTGCCCAGTTCAGATGGTCGGACGAGCGTGAGGCGAGCTTTCAGAAGCTCAAGACAGCTTTGACTACGGCGCCAGTGTTGGTTTTGCTCACAGGTTCAGGACCATATACAGTTTATTGCGACGCATCCCGTATTGGACTTGGTACGGTGTTGATGCAGGATGGCAAGGTCATTGCTTATGCTTCGCGGCAGTTGAAGATTCATGAGAAGAATTATCCAGTCCATGATTTGGAGTTAGCAGCCATTATTCACGCGTTGAATATTTGGAGGCGCTATCTGTACGGTGTGTCATGTGAGTTGTTCACAGATCATAAGAGTCTGCAGTATTTATTCAAGCAGAAGGAACTAAATTTGAGGCAGAGGAGGTGGTTGGAGCTGTTGAAAGACTATGATATCACCATCTTATATCATCCGGGGAAGGCCAATGTGGTGGCCGATGCTTTGAGTAGAAAGTCAGCCAGTATGGGAAGTCTTGCGTATATTCCGGTTGGTGAGAGACCGCTTGCTTTAGATGTTCAGGCTTTGGCCAATCAGTTCGTGAGGTGGATGTCTCTGAGAAGAGCCGTGTGTTAGCCTGCATAGTCGCTCTTTCTTCATTATTGGAGCGTATTCGAGATTGGCAGTATGATGATCCCCATTTGTGTGTCCTAATGGACACGGTACAACACGGTGGTGCCAAGCAGGTCACAGTTGGGGATGATGGAGTTTTGAGGATGCAGGGTCGTATTTGTGTGCCTAATGTTGATGGACTTCGAGAGTTGATTCTAGAGGAGGCCCATAGTTCCCGGTAATCTATTCACCCGGGTGCCGCTAAGATCTATCGGGATTTGTGACAACATTATTGGTGGAGGAGGATAAAGAAGGATATTGTTGCATATGTGGCTCGGTGTTTGAATTGTCAGCAGGTAAAGTACTAGCATCAGAGACCTGGTGGTTTGTTCCAGAACATTGAGATTACTGAGTGGAAGTGGGAGCGTATCACTATGGACTTTGTTGTTGGGCTCCCACGGACTCAGAGGAAGTTCGATGCAGTGTGGGTTATTGTTGATAGGCTGACCAAGTCAGCGCATTTCATTCCTGTGGCAGTCTCCTATTCTTCTGAGAGGTTAGCTGAGATCTATATCCGGGAGATTGTTCGCCTTTATGGTGTGCCCGTGTCTATCATTTCAGACCGAGGTACGCAGTTTACCTCGCATTTCTGGAGGGCAGTTCAGCGTGAGTTGGGCACACGGGTCGAGTTGAACACAGCATTTCATCCTCAGACAGACGGGTAGTCCGAGCGTACTATTCGGATTTTGGAGGATATGCTCCGAGCTTATGTTATTGACTTTGGAAGCTCATGGGATTAGTTTTTGCCTTTAGCGGAGTTTGCTTACAACAACAGCTACCAGTCGAGCATTTAGATGGCTCCTTATGAGGCTTTATATGGTAGGCGGTGTCGGTCGCCGGTTGGTTGGTTTGAGCCGGGAGAGGCTCGGTTGTTGGGTACGGATCTAGTACAGGATGCCTTGGACAAGGCCAGGATTATTCAGGATAGGCTTCGTACAGCTCAGTCCAGGAAAAAGAGTTATGCCGACCGTAAGGCTCGCGATGTGGCATTCATGGTCCGCGTGATGAGATGTGGGAAGAGGGGCAAGCATAGCCCTAGGTTTGTTGGCCCGTTTGATATTCTTGATCGAGTGGGAGAGGCGGCTTACAGACTTGCGTTTCCGTCGAGTTTATCAACAGTGCACCTAGTGATTCATGTGTCCATGCTACGGAAATATCACGACGATCTATCCCACGTGTTAGATTTTAGCACTATCCAGTTGGACAAGGACTTGTCGTATGAGGAGGAGCTGGTAGCTATTCTAGACCGGCAGGTTTGTCAGTTGAGATCGAAGAGTTTCCCTTCTGTTCGTGTTCAGTGAAGAGGTCAGCCTGCTGAGGCAATGACCTGGGAGTTCGAGTCCGATATGCGGAGCCGATATCTCCATCTTTTCTACGACTAAGGTACTTCCTTCTTATGTCCGTTCGAGGACGAACAGTTGTTTTAGAGGTGTAGGATGTGATGACCCAAAAGGTCATCACTTGTTTTGGAAATAAATTCTGTGTTTTGAGGCCTTAAAATCTCGTTTTTGTCTCACCTTGATTTGCGTGCGCAGTCCGGGCGTGTATCCGGAA